AAAATGACAAACTCATTTTGTTCATTTTTGAGACCCAAATAACCAAGTCTGCCAAATAACCAGATCTGAGCAACTAAGGTTTATCAGTCAATTATTCGTTTTTTAAATGAAAATAGTGTTCCGTGAAAAAATGGCTAGTTTAGCTTGCAACTCAGTTATTTAAGGACTTTCCCTTAAATCAGCTGTTGTTTTTAATATGTAGCAGAAATGCTTTATGTGTATTTTTTTTTTTAATTAGTTGTTTTTATTTTTTAAGTGAACTCTACAACCAAGGTGGGGCTAGAACTCATGACCCTGATGAGATCAGGAGTCACGTGCTCTACGGACTGAGCCAGCTAGGTGCCCCTCCTATTTCTTTACAAAGAATATAAAAAGCTGTGTATGCAAAGATTGAACTTTAATAAAAATTACTCATTTTTACTGTCTTTTGAAGGACATTCTTAAGTGAAACTGGCTCTAAAAAAAATTGAGTGTATGGTGGTAAAGAACACAGTTTTACTACTAATAGTACCACTGTTTTGATTCATGTTTGGTTGCCAACAGTTGTACTGTCCCTTGCTTTTGTAACATCATTGTAAATATCAACATAATGAAAAAGGCAAATAATGTCTTGATGCTATTATGATAATGGTTTGAACCCCATACAACCCCTGAAAGAGTCCGTGAACCATATTTTGAGGACTTTTATAGTAGACACTAAAATATTTGAATAATTAAGAAATGAATAAAAACTGTCATGGTATCTACTTATTCTTGCTGCCTTCTGTTTTTTTTCCCCTGTTTTTTTCCTTTGCTTTCCTTCCCTTACCCTGCTGTTACTGTTGCCTGTCGTCCTTTTTTTCTTTTCCTTAGCTGGCTTAGAAGTTAGATACTCTATTTTTACTCTTCTGTAAATTGAACCAAATATTTATTGCATTTGTTTTCTGTCAAATCTAAAGTTAATCTTTATGTCTCTTTTCTTTATGGAACATAAAAGGACCTTTAGACACTTTAATCTTGCTCCAGTTATTTTCTGTGTTGTTGTTTTTTGCATTTTAATTCTACCTTGTTCTGTTGTGAAAAATTTCATACATGCAGAAAGGTAAAATGGGATCATGCACTCTTATATAGCAGCCATCCATATTTACTTACTACATTTGCTTCATGTAGACCTCTTATTGAAGATTTGTAAAAATTTTAACATTTTCTTGAACTTGATTTATCTAAAATGATTATTTTGACCTATCAGTATAAAATTTTGAGATACTTGGCATCATTTTTTTCATGTCTTCAAAAACTGGTTTACATTTTACACTTGCAGCACATCTCAATTTAAACTAGACACATTTTGAGTTTCTAGTAGTCAGTGTGATTGTGGATACCATTGTTAGCGTAAGTTCAGAAATAGAACTAGGACTAATGACTGGAAGATACAGAAAAGGGAAGATTCTGTTTAACATAAACTATTTTTTAACAGGGTGCCTGGCTGGCTTTTTGGGACTCTTGATTTTGGGGTTGTGAGTTTGAGCCCCACACTGGGGATAGATTACTTAAATAAAAAAAGTTTTAAAAAATTATTTTTTTTAACTACTGGAGCTCTTTAACAATGGGATGCATTTCCTTATAAGGTAGTGTGGGCCTTGTCATGAAAGTATTCAAAGGATGATCAGAGAAGGGATTATTCTATGGACCAATTTTTTATTAAAAATTTTTTAAATGCTAAATTTGAATTCAAGTAATGCACATGAAATAAAATTAAAAACTGAGTTCCCTCTCCTATGTATGTATATAGATCTGCCTGCTTTCATACAAATGGAATCATGCTATGTATACTGTTTTGCAACTTGCTTATTTTGCTAAACAGTAATCATGGGTATTTTTCTGTTAGCACATATAGACCCTACTCTGTGTTTCTTTTCTTTTTCTTTTTTTTTTTTTAAAGATTTTATTTACTTGTTTAATTGACAGAAAGAGAGAGAGACAGCGAGAGAGGGAACACACGCAAGGGGAGTGGGAGAGGGAGAAAGAGGCTTCCTGCTGAGCAGAGAGCCTGATGCGGGGCTCGATCCCAGGACCCTGAGATCATGACCTGAGCTGAAGGCAGTTGCTTAACCAACTGAGCCACACAGGGCCCCCCCCCCAACTCTGTGTTTCTTTTAAGTTTATACTACTCTGTAATACTATGAAGATATAATACTTTATTTTGGCATTCCCCTATGCTGTACTCTTGCTGAATTTTTTTTTTTTTTTTTTAGATTTTATTTATTTGAGAGGGCGAGAGACAGAGCACGAGCAGGAGGGAGGGGCAGAGAGAGAGGGAGAAGCAGACTCCCCTCTGAACAGGCTCGATCCCAGGACCCTGAGATCATGACCTAAGCCAAAGGCAGGCGCTTAACTGACTGAGCCACCCAGGCACACCATGCTGAAGATTTATAAAGCAAATCTTAAATATCATTTCACTCCTTCAGTATGCAACTCTAATATTTTAATTTTTATAAATTATTAATATTTTCTTTTCTTACATAACTATAATTCCATTATCACACCTAATAAAAAGAATAGTATTTTCTTAGTGTCATCTCATATCCTCTACAGATTTGTCTCAGAAATGTCTTTTTGTAGTTGGTTTGTTTGACAAGGATCTGGACAGGGAGTATACATTTGATTGTTAAGTCTTCTAGGTCTCTCTTGTAATCCCCTGCCCCATTTGTATGCCATTGACTTGGTTGGAGAAGCTATGTCAGTTATCCTGTGGAATGTTCCTCATTCTGGATTTCTCAATTTGTCATATATTGTAACTTGTTCTTTTAGTGCCATTTAATTTCTTCCTTTATCGCTTGCATTTCTGTAAATGGAAGTTAGTTCTAGAGCTGTGCTGTCCAGTTCTATCTATGTTAGTAACCACTAGTGGCTATTTAAAGTATTTGGATTTAAATACACTTAAAAATTCAGTTTCTCAGTTGAACTAGCCACATTATCAGGTCCTCAATAGCCACTTATAGAACATTTCCATCATTACAGAAAGTTTTGTTGGACAGTGCTGATCTAGAGGCTTAATGGATTCATGTTCAATTTTTAAAAATTTTTTAATTTTATTTTTGATTTTATTTTTGAGAGCACACGTGTGAGCTGTGGGTGGGGGGGTGGAGGGAGAGAGAGAATCTTAAGTGGGCTCCATGCCCAGCACACAGAGCCTGACACCGGGCTCAGTCTGAGGACCCTGAGATCATGACCTGAGCTGAAATCAAGAGTCAGATACTCAAGCGACTGAGCCACCAAGGCACCCCTCAGGTTCAGTATTTTTGAGGAGAATACTTCATAAGTGGTGCTGTGTTGCTTTGTATTGGGTCACATCAGAAGGCAAATGTCTGGTTGTTCCACTTTTAATAATTGGTTGAGATTGAGAAGGTGATGATCAGCCTGACCCCTCATTGTAAAGTTTACCATGTTTACTATAAATACAGTTTTTCTTCTTTTTTTGAAATCTCTCTTTTTCTTATTACATTGGCTAAAACTTTCAATACAGTTATTGAATAGAAATGTTGAGTTAGTATATTTGCTTTGTTCCCAGTTTTAGGGATAAATTATTCAGTCTTTTATCATTAAGTATGATATTAGTTGTTTTTCATAGATGTCCTTTATCAGATTAAGTTTTAGTCTGCATTTTGAGTCTTTTTATAATGAATTATGTGTTGAATTTTGCCATATGTTTTTCTGTACTTATGGAGATATCTATATGGTTTTCTCTATTCTGTTAATGTGATGAATAATGTTGATTTCTATTGAATGTTACACCTTATATTCCTGGGACAGATACCATTTGGTCATAATGTATTATCCTTTTGTATATTATTGGATTGCTAATATCTTGTTAATGATTTACATCTATACTTTTGAGGGATATTGTTCTATGATTTCCTTTTCTTATAATGTCTTTGATTTTGTTCCCAGGTTAATGGTGGATTTTTCCTGTGTCTTTTTGACATAATTCCAGTTTTCTTTGATAACTTTCATGCTTTTTTCCCCCGTGCATATAATATGTCCTAGACTCTGTACAGAAGGATGTTCAGCATATTCCCTGAATAGAGAGGGTTCTTCAAAAAAGTACCTACAGTTGCTTTTTCATACTCTTTTTTGGTTATCTCTGATATAACAAAACCATTAGTAAAGTAAATTTTAAAAGAAAACTTAAAAAATCTAATGAATACTGAATGCTTTTTACTTCATATTCCTCCACATTTTTTGCCTAGTTACGTAGTTAAAAAAACATGTCAATATACGCCACTGTCAGTTGAGTTTAGAAATCTCAAGGTGCACAGTATTTTTACTACACTTAAAGAAATCTTAAACTCTGAACAAAATTACTAGGTTTTTAGGTATGTATGTAGTTTTAAATTTTTCAGTTTCAGAATTGCTTCACATTATGAGGAAAATAATTCTTTTAGGCATTTTCTTTTCTGGTTAGCTGATTCTCTTTCTGTAGTGGTAAGCCTTGGGAGAAGGAAGGTGGGATGCTGTATGGGGTCCATCAGACAGTTGCAGTGCTATCCAGAATGATTTAACTCTATTTCTGTAGAGTAAGTTTTTTGGCTGGCTACTGTAGGGTTGTAGATGATGATTGGGAGCTCAGCCAAGCCATTGATTTATCACAATTATTCTGAAATATCAGGTACATTCATGAATGAATGAATTTCAGATCTTTCTATACTTTTTTTTTATCTTAAAATAACTAGAATTTTATCTCTATTCAGATACTAAAATACTTAGGTTACATAAGGTAAATCATCTTTGGTTATCTAATCACATACTAGTAAATGAGAAGATAATTGGCTCTTACGAATCTTTCTGCAGTTCTTAGCTTCAGGTTGCTGAACAAAGTATTTTTTCCCTGTAAATTCAAATCATTTACTTTTAGATTTATATGTAAAAGAACAAAAGCATGATTGTCTAATAGTGTTAACTTGTGTACTTTGATGTAATAGCCATACTATATAAGTTAAACCTCTCTTTTAACTTTTTAGGCACAAAAATCTCAAACCAAGAAATCCTGGACAACAAGGACAGGCACCATCTTTAAGTCAGCAACAACAAGTACTTCCTAAGCACAAGACCAATGAAAAACAAGAAAAGAGTGAAAAACCACAGAAACGCCCCTTGACTCCTTTTCACCATCGTATATCTGTTAGTGATGATATTGGCATGGATACAGATTCAGCTAGCCAAAGACTTGTGATTTCCGCTCCAGATAGTCAAGTGAGATTTTCAAACATCCGAACTAATGATGTAGCAAAGACTCCTCAGATGCATGGCACCGAAATGGCAAATTCACCTCAACCACCTCCACTTAGTCCTCACCCATGTGACGTGGTTGATGAAGGAGTGACTAAAACACCTTCAACTCCTCAAAGTCAGCATTTTTATCAAATGCCAACACCAGATCCCTTGGTTCCTTCTAAACCAATGGAAGATAGGATAGATGGTTTATCCCAATCTTTCCCAGCTCAATTCCAGGAAGCTGTAGAACCTACAGTGTATGTTGGTACGGCAGTAAACTTGGAAGAAGATGAAGCTAATATAGCCTGGAAGTATTACAAGGTCCCAAAGAAAAAAGATGTAGAGTTTTTACCACCTCAGCTTCCAAGTGATAAATTCAAGGATGATCCAGTTGGACCTTTTGGACAGGAAAGTGTAACATCAGTTACAGAGTATGTATTTTTTTAATAGTCACTATTTATAATTTAAGAGTAGGAATGATGCAAGTTCTTGATACTAGGACTCCACAATTGGTTTCAGGGTAGGATTTTATTATTATATTATTATATATAATATATTATTATATTATTATAAATAAAATACATATATATATAAATATAAATATTAGTTTTGCATAACTTCTTTACTGTGTTTTTTCCTCAGAGAACCTCTTTACTTTGAAATACTAGTCACAAAAAAGTGGAGAAAATAATAGCACTTGTCCATCAACCAACTTAAGGATTTTGCATATAATTAGAACTCCTGTGTACTATTTTTCTTCCATTTTTTTCCTTCCTCTGTCCTAAATTTGGTGTTCTATACATGTTTTTATATGTGTAGCTCTAGTTAATTCATTTTAATTGCTTTATAGTGTTTCTTATGAATAATACGTAATTTATCTACTTTCTTAAAGATGGATAGTTGGTTATTTTCAGTTACATAGGCTGTAGCAGTGAACTTTTTTGTACACATGTCCTTGTGTATTTGTATAAGATTTCTCTAGGGAATATGTTTAAAAATGGAATTGCTGGGCCTTGGGGTATGTCCATATTCTGCATTAAGGGTCGTTGCCAGGTTGGCTCTCCACCTATACCGGTTTACACCCTCATCAACCAGCAGAGTATGAGAATGGTATTTTCCTCAGTGTTTGGTATTATGAGACTTTTAATTTGGCTAATCTATATACAGAATGGCATCTTACTGTCTTAATACGTGTTTTCCAGATTCCTAGCAAGATTAAGCATCATTTAAAGTGTTCATTGGACATTAAGATTTCCTCTTCTGTGAACTGTCTGTATGTCATATTTTTTAGTCTATTTTTCTTTCCCTTCCCCCTCCCCAATTCTTTGCATGTTCTGGCTATTAATCTTATATTAGTTACATGTGTTACAGATATCTTCCTCCATTCTATGGATTGCCTTTGTCCACTTTGTGTGTGACATACTTTGGGTGGGAAGATTTTTTGGGTCTCCCTTTACTATGTTATTCTGATCAAATTTATGTTCTGTCCCATAAGTCTTTTGCATTTTTATCTATAGATTTTTCTAAAAGGTGAAAATCAACCAACAAAACACCATTATATTCATTAAAACTGTCTGTCTTCTTACCAGTGCAAGACCCAAGTAGTGTGCAAAGTTATATTTCTTCTCTAGTAGTCTGCTGTCAGCAAAAGTATTTAGGGTCTTCTCTTTAGTTTAGAATTTTAAAATTTCACAAGAATATGTGCAGGTGTAGTGATCTTTTGTTCATTCTTTGTATCGGGCATTTGCGGTGGGCTGATTCAGTTTGAAGTCTTTGTCCTGCTACTGGGAAGTTCTCTTCTTCTTGGATAATATCTGCTTTTTTCCCGCATTCTCTTTGGAACCTCTGTAATTTATATGTTGAATTTCTGTATTTTCTCTCATTTTCCATCTGTTTTTTTCCTTTGTATTCTAAGGGGATTCCTCAAATTTCTTTTAACCCTTTCTTGAAGTCTTAATATTTGTTGCTCATGTTTTCTTATTTCTAAACTTTTCTAAAAAATATCATCCCCTTGTTTAATGTTCTATAATTTTTTTCTTCAGAATTACTTTATTTCCATCTTTTTACTGTGCTTTTATCACTTTTTTATAATTATTTCTTCATACAACTTTTTTTTCAAGAGAGAGGGAGAGAGAAAGAGTGGGAGGGGGAGAGGAAGAGAGAGAATCATAAGCAGGTTCCATGCCCAGCACGGAACCCAAGCCCAACGTGGGGCCAGGGGAGGGGGGCAGTGTGGAGCTCAGTCTCACAATCCTCACATCATGACCTGAGCTGAAATCAAGAATCAGTCGCTTAACTAGCTCAGCCACCTATGTGCCCCTCTTCATACACATTTTAGAATGAAGGAATAGGGGAGCTGATTGGCGGTCCTTACTCATTCAGTAAATAATTTAGTATTTTTCAATTCTGTGCGGAGATACAGGTCCAAATTTCCTCTTTTTTTTTTTTTGAGAGTTAGCTCTCCTGTTGTTTATGTAGGTTGCCTATAGCCCCCTCTTGCATATTCTAGTCCATGACCTTTCTCTGCTGTGTTTCATTGATTTTGAGCTTCCCTGAGACTAAGTAAAATGTCTGGCCCACTTGTAGCCTCTCCCATTTTCCTTACTGTTAAAGATTTATTCTCTTTTAATATTCTTTATTATTTTAGTAAACAAACCTGTGTGCCTTATCTAGCTCTTTGAATCTTTAAAGTGTTCTAGTATTTTTTTTAATTGAAATTAATCTGGATTTGAAATTTAGGGACTTTAGGATACCCTTATGATCATGGAAGAAAACTAGATTATTTAATAGTTAGGAGGTCTCTTGAAAGCAAATGATGCCTTGGAAACAAATCTCAAAAGATCTTAATGTTATTTGTGCTGGATGTAATATAAAATTCCTCAACTCTTGTCTGAAACTACTGTTGGTCTTTCTGTTTCTGTACTTCTCTACATGTATTCTATAGACAGTAGAATGATCACTGTAAGTTAAATGTTATGTTACTCATTTCCTTTTAAAACCCTTGAGTAGTTTCCCTTTACATTTAGAATAAAATCCAAACTTTTTCCTCATCTGTAAGATTCTACCAAGTTCCTGCCTAGCTAGTTCTTCACTCTTATTTACCACTGTCCTATTTGCTTCCTGATTTCATGACATCAGCTTTCTTGCTATTCCTCAGAAAGCCAACCTCATTCCTAATGGCCTTTAGAATTGTATTACAGATGGGGAAACAGCTCACCCCTTATTTAGCCCTGTTGAAAAGTTACCTTCTCAGGAAGTATTTCCTGACCATTTTATCTAAACTATGGCTTTTCTTCACTTCCCAAATCACTGCCTATCTTGTACACTGCTTTCATTTTTTCTTTATATATATCATCTGAAATTACATTATGTATTTGTTAATGATCTTTTTCCAATTAAAATGTAAGCTATATGAGGGCAAGGACTCTGTCTTGTTTACTGCTGTGTTCCTCCAGCATACATACACAAACACACACACACACCCCTAGAACAATTTTAGGTCCATAGTAGACATTGAGCAGATGTTTGAATAAATGAAACAACAGTATGGCCCTAGGGTTACTTTATGATTTTAGAACTTGTTTTTTTCTAGATTATATTTTCTTATTTAATGTATATAAAATATAGCATTATGAATCTTTTTAGTTTTATAAACTTAAAGGGTGAGTTTTTATGGGCACATCATATTCATAAGATCCAAGAGTCCTAGCCATAACTTTAAATAAGTGTATTAGCTGCTTGTGTGCATGAACATCTGTAAGTGAAGTGGAATGAAGGTCTCTTAGAAGTTAATACTGTCTAATGTTAGAATCCGTTCTGAAATTATTTGACATTTTTCTCACTGAATAAGAATGAGAAGGAAGAAGCATAATGTAGAAAGGTAGCATGCAGAGTAGAATGGTGCTGGGTCATGATTATGTAAATTAAGGAAATAACATGCTTCTATCTGTTCCTGGTCACCATTTTTTCTGCTTCATAAAAAGAAAGGAAAAGACTGAATAAAAGGATTTTTTTTTTAATTCTGTGTCTTATGTGAGTATTGTTTTGGTTTTATTAGTTACTAAAATGTGTATTGTGTCACTTATTTTTAGATGAATCCTTTTTATTATTATAGTAGATTAGACTATGAAAAATATCACAAAAAAAGTCAACCCTCAGCTTAGCTGTTTGAAATATGAACTAAAACATTTATGGAATATAGTTGTTCTGTACTTGATAGGTTACAAGTTTTTTGGTTTTATTCTTTCCTTTTGTAGTTAACTGTTCTATGGCTGTAGTTTCTCAATTGGGGCAGTTTCTTATTCCCCCACTTACCTTCAGGTGACATTAGGCAGTGTTAGAAACAGTTTAGATTGTCACAACATGGGGTGTGCTGCTATTTGGAGGGATGCTGCTAAGTACCCTACCATATATATATAGTACAACAAAGCCCAAAATGTTAATAGTGTTGAAGTGCTTTAATATCATGAATCATTTTTAACAGAAATTTGAGCTCTAGAATAAATTATTGAATTAGATAGGCCAAACCTGTTTACTGATTAGTTTTACTAGGGAGATTCCCCATACTATTTTATTATCCAGTAAAATACCTGGCATTGGCTTTGCCTTGTGCTAAAGCAGAAGTTTTGTTTTGTTTTGTTTCCTATGTTAAAAGGATCTTGTTTGGATAACTTAGTGATTCTGGTCCTGCTATTAATGTTACTTGAGGTAGGATGTCATGAGGATCATCAGTCAGATGATACCCCCGTCATTAAAATAAATTCTATTAATTAATATTCTCTCAGTGGCATTTAAACAACCTTAAATTTTTTATAGAAGCATTGTATAGCTTTAAAGATATGATCTTTTCTAGTCAGAGTAATGCACTCAGAAGCCTAGATTTTTTATATAAATAAATTTGTGAATTCTTATTAGACATTGTAAATTTCTAATCTTTTTCCATACTCTTGAGTTTTGAAAGTGTATTTAAATATATGGCAGTTAATTAGGGGGCTGTTGTAACTCCTATATTCTTTTCACCCTTTTTAAATTCATATTCCTTAAAGATGTATTTTATCACTTTGAATAAAACTGAGGTTTCTCTAATATGCAAGATGCTGTAAGGCACTGTCAGAGTATGAAATAAATTTGGTCCTGACCCTAAATGAAATTGTAATCTAATGGAAAATAACATTAAATTCTCTGATAGAAGTATACATAAAATATATTAGGGATGGAGAACCAGAATAAAGAATAATTTAATTCCGTTTATGAAATCCAGAAGCTTTATGTAGTTTGGTATGGATAGATTATCTGGTGTTGCTTACTAGTTTGGTATGTCATGATAAGAAAGGAGACCTGAAATGTAGGGTAGGGCTATATAACGGAATAGCAAAATATTGTTTATAAGCTTATGTATTAATGTAGTATTATCCTTGAGATGATAGGGGCA